GTCACCCAAAGCTTTACAATTCATACCTATTGTGCATGTTTTAAGTGGTAGGGGAAACCGGAGCACCCGGAGAAAACCTAAGCAGACACAGGGAGAACATTCAAAGTCCACTCAGAAAGGCCCTGTTCCGACCCGGGATTCGAACCCAGAACCTTCTTGCTGAGAAGCGAGAGTGCTATCCACTCAGCCACCGTGCCGCCCAAGTAAAACTCGAACTAATAAAACGGCATGCCAACTTCTGTTTCCTACATGTCAAGTCATTGTTTTTAAAGTTAGACAAATTTACCAGTCATAACTCTTGCTGTTGCCGTAAAATTACCTCACATGGGGCTAACTGTCACTTAAATGTATTCATTACTTTGTGACTTCTGGAGCTAAATCCCTCTTTGGGGCACATTTATTACCGCCACCCCACTGATTCTCTTCCCACCAAGCAGATTTCTTATGATATGGGCCATGAAGCACAAGTGCATGGCATGCTGTTAATGAAGAGGATGTGTTGAGATACAGCGGTGGCTAACTGGGACCACAGCTCTGTGTAATCATCACATAATTGTGGGCAGCAGCGTGAAGCTATAGGGACGAGGCAGCAGACAGGCACCTGGACATCTGGAGAGGGCTGGCATGAGATGGGATTAGAGGATGTCAAACTCTTAACACCAAAAGCCACCAACAAGGAAATAAAACACTTTCTATCAAAAAGTTAACACTGTAAACCGTGAATATTAACAAATATAGTCACACCTATCTCCGCCGTTGAAACTATTGTGCCACCACTTTCGCCGTCTATGGGCAGCTTCAAAATGGCCGTAGGGGCTGGAAAATGTGAAAAAATTGATTGGCACATGCGTCACCCGGCACGAGCCCCATTCTTTTGTCGAGTGCCTTCAAAATTCCACTGCGACTAAACTAGACTGGTCCAAAGAAAAATCACTCCCCTCAGCATTGACACACATGTTGGACCATCCTGAAATCACGTTTTTGAGAGGTAAGATTATATACATTAGCATTGGCTAATTCTTATTCCAGGTCCACCCCCATCGGCCCGGGGTGGTATTGCAAGCATGTCAGAGCATGTCATTTTGGAAATTTTTGAGCCAGGACCCGCCCCCACTGGTTAACAAGCATGTCTCTGTGCAAGCATAGACTGTAGATGGACAATGATAACCTGCTAGCTCAAAGAAGCTCAATAAGGCTTCAAGTCACTCTGGCTCCTATCAACTTACATCGAAAAGTAAACTAGCTCAGTAACCGTATGTGTCACACTCACCAATCCATGGCACTCTCCATGATCTGAGTACTTAAGCAACAATGTTAGCAACACGTCTACCCATGTTATACTGCAAAGATTACCTTGTCAAAACAAATGCCCATATAAGGAAATGTTCACGTCAGCTTCTTCCGCAATAAATCAAACGCTATGGGTGACGTCAGCACTCGGTCAGTCCACTCTAACTACGCTTCTATTTACACTGTGTACTATTTACAATGTGTACTAGAGGTAATTGCCACCCAACTCTCAAAGCACCAGTCCCTCACTGAATCTGCCTACAGTTGGTGAGTCGAGAGGAGGAGGACTCTGTCACCAACAACACCGCCTTAGTCTTTTAGCGGGGGCTTCAGGTAAAGTGGGGTTAAGTGTCTTCCCCAAGGACAACAACAACAACATCAGACATCAGTGAGAGTCCGAAGACCAACGCTCCATTTTCGTGCCTGTACTCAAAGTCTTCCGTTTCAATTCAGTAAAAACAGATTGATATACTGTACCTAACAATTATCAAAGAATAATTGAAATAGACAAACAATATTTTCCTTCTATAAGTATTAAATTGTGGATGGATCAGACAAGGGTTTTCTAAAAATGTAGGATAGTAATTTTGAAGAACATTAAGACACATATTATCCCCAACATGTTCTTGCTCTGTCAAAAGCCAAACTAAATCCAAACTGTTGCCCTGTTCCCATATGCGGTCACCCTAAAATGGGAACATAGGAAGATATAAAAATGTATGACAAACCTAGCAAGTTCTAGAGTGTGGGGACAGGAGGGCAGACATACCAAAATACTGTACATGCATCATAAAAATGAATTTAACATGAGAGAATCTCGGTCCAGCAGTGACGAAAATGCATTAAAGAACAGTGCGACTAAAAGGAGCACTCAAAGCAAGTTAAATAAATAAAACAAGGTTATGTGGTATTTAACACATCCCTGTGCTTATCTTAAAGAAAAAAAATGTATACTTTAATCTTCCCTTTAAAAAAGTACAAAACTATGGGGACTATAGAGTAATATTTAGAGAGGTGGCCACAATAAGAAGCATACGATTATGGAAAGAATACATAGAATACAGCAGATAATGTAGTCTTGAAAATCTTATCAAATGTGTCTTTTTTGGTATTGTGATTTGTTTTGACCACTGTTGAATCACCTTTCAGGGTTAATATGTGGATTATGAAGCTACACTTTGAAATGAATACAGTTATTAGTATGGATATTAAACACGTTTCATGATTATATGCATGCTTTTTACTGGAAGTATCCATACTAGTTATCCAAAATGGGGACATTGTTTTTCTTTTTAGGAACACCAACAACTATGCTAACTGCTATGTTTCAAAAAAATAAAACAATAAAATAAATTCAATGTGTGATATGGCATGCTTGCTGGTCTGGTTTACTTTAACTGGACCAAATCTGGATCACACGACATATGATCATTATTCATTTCAAATTGTTTGCATTTTTTCCAAACATATCTGTGAAGCAAAGGAAACACATTTGGTCCAGAAAAGGATAGATACATGTGAATGCGGCCTTAGTCTTCTTTCTGACATGGTGTGGACTTTTTTGTTGTTTAAAATTGACCAAATTTATTTTAGATGTATTGGTTCTTTTTCTCTCTTGAGTCTTTCACTTGTGTTTCCCTGTGTATACTTAAACCCTGTGCTCCTCTTTTCTGGTTGTCGGCCCATTGCGATTTCACCCTGTGTCTGAAAAGATTTCTGTTATATGCTAGATTTTGGTATTTTTTTTGTTTTCCTTATTAGGCCTTGCATTTGAGTTCTCCTTTTGTTGTGCATTAATGCCACCCTCTGTATTCAATTCCCTTCATATCTCTATAACATGTTTTCCTCCATTGTAAGGCATCGCTACACTCCCTCATACATACATACCTCAGTCAATGCAGCACTGTTTGGCTCAATTGAAAAAGAAAAAGATTGATGACCATGCTTCTATCAACACAGCCCCTTCTCAGCATAAGCTCCTGCAGTCACCCCTGTCCCGCTGAATGGCAGTGTACGTACTCTGTGTTGTGCTGTGGCTTGTATTGACGCGCGCAGTAACCCCAGTGCGGTCAATACATCACTGGGCCCCACAATTAATGGCACGGCAGCACCAGTGAACTTGGGCATTTGTATACTAGTTAAAGATGGTCTTTCTGATTAAGTCTCCCCAGACGACCATTCCAGACCAAAAGCAGCAAGAATTAGTGATAGGCCATAAAGAGGTTGTTTGGAGTTAACTAAGGATGCAGACCTTGCAGGCATGTGAGTATGTGAATAGCATTTTGAGATTTTTTTTTTCTAATCATAATCTACAATGTGTGTGAATGTAGGTGTATCTTATTTGCAAACACATGTGTCTCCGTCAAAAAAGTTTCTTCTAGCATTAATCTACATTTTTGTGTGAAATAGAGACTGTTTGATCAAGAAGGGGTGAAACTCTGTATGGATGGCACTAAATAAAATATGCCTTTTAAAAAATTGCAAATTGTAAGCCTTTCAGCTATGTTTATAATGGCACATATCTGATTTTCCCATGAACTATTAATATTTAGTTGTGTTAGTGTATGTGTGTATCTGTGTGTTTTGTATACTTGCTTAAAAAAAAAAAACACAATGTGTCCTTGCCTTTCTTACAGTGTTCAAACTCATCCTTTTCTATTAAAGTCATTCGGCCATTTCGTTTCTTGCAATGATCGACCTCATTAAAAGCTTTTTGTAGCTTGGTGTCCATTTCTTCACTGAGTCAAAACATTTGCACACAACCAAATTCATCTGAAATCTCTGATACTGTGAAGAATACATTCAATTAAAATGAATTGAGTCTGTGAAATTATTGGTGAGACTCACAAAGATTTGGTTTCAAATATCTTTTTGGAACTTTCTATCCCGATGTTGTTAAAAAGGTTGCACTAGTCTGATACCACGTCTGGTCTGTGTCGTTTAGGCCTATACAGTATGTCCTGTGTTGTGTACCTGCTATAATATTTTCCCAGTATTTTATTTCATTTTTGAGATTACTATAAACATGTGTTGATATGCCTTGTTCTTGATATGGGCGAGAATATAATTGCAGGTTGATTTGTGTTATAAATGACTCCAACTGTTATTCAAGGTTTGATCATATATAGCACAACACAGACGTTATAGCCAAAGTTTATCCCTGCATTTGACCGATTCCCCAGTACAATAGCCACATTAAACAAAATATATCTCCTCATGTTAAGGCATGCTTGGACTTTATGATCAACCAAGACGCAGCCAGAACAGTGAAGTGAATGAAATGAATGCTGTGGCTGTAGCAATGGACAAACTTGGCCATACTCACGCATTCTAAGCCAAATCATCTATTACTATGTAGCACCACGCTTTGGAAAGTTGACTGGCTTCCAATGAATTAAAATTGATTGGTATGTGTAGCAGGATGCGACTAGGGGACGAGAAGCAGACTCGTTTGAACAGCATAAATAGTAGGAGCACCAAAGAAAAAAAATGGCATAGATGTGTTAGTCATGTTGAAATAAAAAAGGAAAAGCAGCCCAGAAGTCAGCAGCTGGAGGGAAAAAAACCGTGGGAAGATGTTGAATGCAGCCCTGAGTAATGGCACTGCCGATGCGCTATGGATGCCCCAACTAAACACTTTTGTATATATTTAGAATGTGTATGATGGATGGGAAGCAGGTGAAACACATTGGCGCAACTTGCAAACTTACCCATATCCGCTTTTCGATTAGCTCCAGCCCAAACGTTTTTTTGTGTGTGTTTGTCTTTTTGTTAGCGGCTTCTGTTAGTCCACATGACCCGTTCCGACGCACGCACAATCACCGTCCCGATGCACGACCAGCACCGGTGTGGAGGACTCCGACTTCTGCCACTTATCCGTCCGTGCGCTTGTTCCCAGCGAAATCACTGTCATTCATTTAACTCCACAATCAAACGAGCAGACATCCAGCCCAGGCTTTCTTTCTTTTTTTTTTCTCAAACAAAACTCCAGTTTCAGCTGCAAGAAAAAAAACGAATCAACGCCAATCTCCTGCGTCTCTGTGTGTTTTTTCCCCCTTTCTCCTCTCTCTCAAGTCAAAGCCAAAAAGAGTACCGCATTTGACGCATAAGCTCGTAAAGACACATCCAGAAACGCATGTCACTGTTACGCGCACGGGAAAGGGAAGAAATCCAGTTTGGTGGTATGGGGGGGGGGGGGGGGGGGGAGAAAAAAAAGGCTGCAAATTTTCCCTATACAAGAGTTGCACGGAACCCCCAAGCTGAATCCTCTTCTTTCGAGCGCGCAGAGGCGAGCCAAGAGAGTAAACGCCGTGTTATCCACAAGTCTCCACTGCTGCTGCTGCGGCTGCTATCGCGCTGGTGGGAGAAGCGACAATCACACGCCGGCAAAACATCACAAAAGAAATCCAGCGTTTTGTCCACGGATCGTTACTTGCTTGCATATCCGCGCTGGCTATAGAAGTTTATTTTTTATTTTTTTTAGGTCTGGATCGTGAAACAAGATGCTGTTGTGAATCTGTCGTATGTCACAGCAACTTTGTCAGGCAGAATCCCAATGCCCTCTTCTGGCGAGACTGCGACCCGAAGCGGTGGGTAGTGAGGGAGAGAGGGAGGGAAAGAGGAGAGAGATAGGGATGTGTGTGCGTGCGTGTGTGTGTGCGCGCGTGTATGGGAGAGAAGGAAAAAAAAGAAAACATAGGTGAACGGACTGCGCCATTCAATCACGAGTGAGGTGTTGTGTGCTGGCGGATAAGCAGGAGTGACGCGTGGCCACAACAACATAGGAACCATGGGGGTGCGTGTGGAACGGGATGAGGCACGGGACATGACGGCTCACACTCCAGGAGCCTCGAACAGCGCGTCCGCGGCTGAAGTTGTGCCCTCTCATGTTGCTTTGCATTAAAGACAAGGACAGCATGTTGGTTCTCAGCGTAGAGACACAGAGACAGGAGGCGCACGCAGCAAAGTTCTCACAAGATAACCATGGTAACGCATATGCAAATGTTAGTTTGATATGATTGGATTCGCATGATGAATTGTACTATATTTTTCAGGAGATTATGATTGAACTCATGGTGACAACCTGAATAAGAGGGAAAGGAGTCACATGATCAGCCTTGTCTTGTCTGAGTGTTTTTTGGATTGTTTGTGTTTGTTGTATTGAATAAATGAGGGGTTTAAGCCAAATGTCTGCGTCTTGAAATGTGTCTGTATCAGAGAGAGTGCATGTTATTGGTATGTTTTTTTCTATTGGATTGTACATTACTGTATCCATGTATTTTGTTTATGTAACCAGGTAATGCAGATGGAAACGAGCTGTTGAGCCATAGACTGGTGCAGAACATATCTGTCTTCGAGCTTAATGTCTCTGTACATTGTCCCTTCAAATAAAGACTAAACTAAACTAAACTAAACCCAATCTTAAACTATGTATTTTGTTCTGTATTGCGTACCATGTTTATTCAGTTTTTTGTGTTTGAGATAAGTGTACACTGGGTTTGAAATGAATAGAAAAATTATGTATTTTGAGACACTTGAACTCCTCAAGTACAGGAGTCGGGCCCCAGGGACACAGGAAGAACATGCAAACTCCCCTCAGAAATGCATCGTTTAGTTTTTGAAAAAGAAGGCAGGATCTTCTTTATGAGATGCAAAAGTGCTTACTAGACAACATTTGGAACTAAAAAAGGGATAATTTATATCCTGTAACTACAGAGTATAGTTATACCCACATAGCACATGATGATACATATTAGTTTAGCCATACTTATTGATACTCATACTCATATATCAAATAATACAATTTAACTTAACTACAAACATTTCCAATTGAATAAAAACATAATCAAATCCATGAGTATGTTCGATTGTAAAATGTAAGAAAAATACACTACAACAGGGAGCTGTCCAGAGCGCTGCAGAGTTACAAGAGCTGTCCATGGTGCTGAAACCTGCAGACCATTCACCAGATCCACCAGGGGTTATGAGCACAAGGGAACTCTCCGGGGCGCTGGTTGTTTCTCTAAACTCGGACTACTGTTATTATTAGTGAGTGGTTTTACTGTGTGGTCCTATTCTCAACAAAATATTTACAGTATATTTCAATATGACATAATGGTGTCATCATCATCCGTGTTCATTGCATTTTCACAGTGTGTAGCTTTGGAAATACACTAACATTAAATGACGGGGCAGTAAGGTTGATTAGTAATTCACATAAATCCAACATGCACAAACTATACATTTCTGATTAAATGTCTACGCTTATACACGGTGTTACAGTATGACCCAGCTCTGCTAGGGTAAGGGAGGTAACAAAAACAAAAAACGGAAAATGGAAAAGCAAGTATTTAATAACATGAATGTAAATGATAGATAAGGAGTCATGAATCAAAAGGACGCAATATAGGACATAAGGGGGTAAATCAACGTTACCAAAACAAAACCTACACTTAACTCTTTACACTTACACATAGCACTAAACACTAAACTGACTGTTGTCCCAACTAAAGCGAAGTGTCACAAAAACAAAACCTCAAAGTGACAACAGAAAAGAGACAAACCAAATCAAAACTATGCGGACTATGTCATTGCCACCACTCTTGACAATGACAGACCATGAGGACAAAATGGCATACCAGCCACACACAGGTGTGGAGTGTGGCCTTCAGTGGAGAGTGACTCCAGGTGGGGAAGCTGGATTGGCCAGGTGCACCGGTGCTCCTCCAATCAGCACCTGAGTCACGGACGTCTGGGAGGGCCAGTGGTTCTCCAATCACAGGCCAGGGATCTCGAGACAGGAGGGGTTGCCACACACACACACACACACACAAAAACAAACTCTTGACGTCACCCACAACTAACTACAACACCTGCCTTCCGCACTCGCTGGTAGGTAGGTCGAAATTCTACCGATTGTAATCGCTAACCCAGGGACTAGACCCAGACGTTACATGCAGTGAAATGATGATTGAGCGGAGTGTACGGATGGCTAAGACCAGGCTAGCAATTTACAGGCCCAGGGCCGTAACAAGCGGTATGCTTGAAGAACTTTCTTTATTTTTTTTTAAAACACACTATTATTTACATACACATTTTTTATGTTGGTTATCAAGATGAGTACCCAGCCAGAAAGTAGAATTAGTATTATATGAGTTGCTCATTTGAGTCGCCGGTTTCTTTGGGTGGATTCCAGATTGTTTGGACGTTGCCTAAAGCCTATATACTAGATGACATGCTGTTGATTTAATGTAATACATGTTTATGTTCTTTCTTCATTCATACATTCATTCATTCACACTTTGATACATGATGGACATTTGGATCAGATTTTAAACACACAAAAAAAGAAGAAGGCATACTGCAACCTTTTATCAAAGGAGTGATACTCAGTACTTCATGATTCAACTTCAACTTCTACTACTACAGCCCTCAAATTTAGCTCCAGGCACAGATTGTATTCTATTGATCTTAGTTAAGGATGGTCCATGTTGTCTTTTAGTGCTTACTGTACTGTGCGCCTGGGACAAACTGCTGAAAAATCACGTTATGTATGAGGTTGCAAGATAACTTATTGTATTGTGGTCCATACTCTCTAATATTTGTAAATATATAAAATGTGATTTTTTTTTATGTCATTCTTTTTTTTTTACTTATCCAGTGAATGAAACCCTCAGAAGCCACAGATTAACTTTAACAATACATAACCATTTGGTCAGCGGCCAACTGCATTGAATTATATACTTGAACTTAGTGAATACTTGTTTTACTATCCACAATTTAAACTTTGCAGCATTTTATAGGTTGTATTCTACCATTCATTGTGTCATTCCAAAAGGTTATGATTCTTTCTTTATTTAAGCTTCTTCAAATGAGCACCATCTGGATCGGCATTAAAAGTAACGACTGAATTCTCCATATGCATCCTGACTCTGAATGAGGACTTTTATTACTTCAACTTTATCTTTGTATGGTGGAATTAAGAGTGGAACTTCCGCTCCCTCGACTGCACTGTGGCGGATTTTTTATTTTTGTTTTATTTTACGTAGTAGACACCCACATGTTTGCGTTGGATTTGCCTTTTACATATACATTACTATGATAGAGCCAGAGTGAAAAAATGGAACAGACTCTGTGCCATCTGGATCGACATTAAATGGAATCTCTGGATTTTTACTAACTGTGAATCGTATAGAATGGGGAAAAAAATCCTCACATCGTATAACCTTGATTTGGAACTATCTAAGTCAGGCAAGTAAAATTAATGTGTTCAAACTGAGAAAAAACAAATATTGGTTAACCCCATACTCACCACCATAATTCAAATCCTTCAACCCCCCTCATCATTGAAATTGTGAACATGGAGATAAGTATTTTGAATGCAAGCACAAGTTAGATCCGCCCCCATTGGTTCTTTACTGGATGCAAATTAATTCACATCCTTGGTAGACAGCTGAGGCCATCACCATTGGTCTCTGGAACATCTTACATGAAGTACAATTGAAGCTGTATCACCTTTAATAAATATAATGTAATACATTTTTTTAAAAAAACATGTATTAATTGTGTACACTCAATGTTTGCTGCTTGATCAATGTTGGAAAAGATAGCTTCATCCATCCATCCATCCATTTTCTACCCTTCAATCCATTTCTGGGTCAGGGGGGTGGCAGTCAGAGATGCCACCCAAATCTCATAGCACCAGCCCCTCACTG